GTAACTTCTAACAGAGTACATGTCCAATCAGTAATTATACAAAACAAAGAATGTAAAATAGGTGTTGTACTATTTTAGATTGGCAGTTATTCTTTTTAAATTCCTCAAAGCATTGTTGTGTAACAATTTTTAACATTTTTCAAAACATGGGAACAAAATAGAAACTTGGTTACAATTTTGTAACGACTCACAAATCACAACAAATTTAAACTTTTAAAAACAACCCGTGGTCATAAAATGTTTACAAAATCATTGTTTCCAAATTGTTTATCAATATCAGAGTATCCCAAAATCATAAAGCCATAAAACAGAGGATGTGTACGGTCATGCCTTCGTCTTCCCGCCATCTTCAGAAGTACCTGAAACAATAAAGTAAAATTGTAAGCCAAAGCTTTGTGACCCCCCCCCCCAAGTACCACCACATAAAACATATCAAACAAGCAGGTAACGGGTCCACGACCTTCCTGGTTGGATTACCCTTGGCCCACAACCTTACGGTTGGAATGCCCAATACATAACGGGTCCACAACCTTCCTAGTTGAATTACCCCCGGTCCACAACCTTCCAGTTGGAATGCCCTGACCCACAACCTTACTGTTGAAATGCCCTGGTCTGTTGACTTACAGCACAAATCATAACATATATCCAAACTTCCCAGATGACTATTTTGTTTTCAAATACATACAAATTTTTGTAAGTTTTATTCATAAACTTGTGTTATACAACACTTATATTACTTGTATCATCTTAATCACATATTATTATATGTTTAAAATAATTAGGACATGATTAACTTCCCGTGTTCTAGCGCCAAGTCACCGTTACTATCATATTAACTAACCACGACTACATACAAGGTGAGTTCATACCCCTACATTTTCATGATTTTTCACTGTTTTAGAGGGGGAGGGATACAAGTGTAACATAAGAAATTTTGTGTTAATATCTAAACGTTTTCAATATTTTGTCAATCATCGCCGTTTTTAATAACATATACATATATATATATATATATATATATATATATATATATATATATTATATAATTAATGTTCAACGGGCTTAGAATTCATAATTTTGCTCCATTTCTTGTTCCTTGTTTGGTTGTGGGCTTGAGGTAGAATTATTTATTCGACTACTTATTTGATCATAATTATATAAATATTATATTTATATAAGTATAAAAGCATTTAAAACTTGTTAAACAAAATATAATTTTTACAATCTATTTTAGTACTATTTGGACATAAATGTTGAATTTCACGGAACTATCGTATCACGGATTTTACAATTTAAACTTGCCGAATTATTAACAATACAAAGGTTTTCGTTTCAGTAGAACACATACATATAAACTATAATAGGTATAGTTTTACGGCAATTACATATTACTTTTCAAAGTTCAGAATACAATACGGAAACAAACAAATAAACTATAATATGTATAGTTTATGGATCATATGTACTACTTTACATATTTAGAATACATTATGGAAAACAAACATATAAACTATAATAAATATAGTTTATGACATATACTTACAGTTTATCCATTACAAATTAACTTTTCATTATTCTACACGTAACCGTTAATATAGCATTTGTGAGACACACTTCACGTACTTATCTAAGTATCAACCAAGTCCTGAAATTATAACCAGAGTCTCCTGGTGGAAGAGCGTGACACTTGTGTATATATCTATATGGGACTGACAATCCCGCACCTTAACTGTTCGCTACAGTTAGGCCGGCAAGCCTGGGGTGACAAATGTCGTACCGATTGAGACGCCTAAAGAACGTCGTGTTCAGGCCATCTTAGGTCATCAAACATGGTTATGATAACTCACAATTTGGTATTGAATAATACGATTGGTGTATGAATAAGTAAACAATGTTTTATTAAATAATAAAACTATAATACAGTATTTTACAGTACAGCTGGTGAATCCAGACACTTACAATTACACAGTTTTTATACAAGTACAAATACAGAAAACTACTCTAGTACGGAGAAAACATACTTTTCATAGTTCTATGTGAATTAAAACTACATTATACTATTTCAGAGTACAATAACATTTACACGTTTTGGTCTTAGGGTATTAAGACTACAACACATTACAACAGAAAATATAGGATTTTCTGGGTAAATATACTTACATTTTCAAGGAACAAATAACAGATTTCAGTTGCAAAAATGCTTATGAACTCACCAACTTAATTGTTGACACTCTTTTCAAAACTACTTGTATTCTTAAAAAATCAGTAAACAGGTATCCACAGGTTTTGAGAAGACGGAGCTTCATAGACTCATGTCTTTTAGTTTTTGCTATACGTTTTGGTGTCATATATACATTGATTTGAACACGAATGTAAAACTATACTTTATCAATGTAATGGTTGTTTTACTTTGATTACTATTATGCAATTGTTATGATATTGTACACGACGTCATCCGCCCCCGAACGTTTTCGCCGTTCCGGTTTAGGGGTGTGACAACGAGCATAGTAGGTTGAGTCTTTCACCGTTGCTTTTTGAGGAACTTCACCCAAACAATCCTTAGCATAGTGGTTTCCGAGACCACATTTGTGACATACAATCTTGGGCTTGGCTGAGTTTAGAACTTCCTGAGGTTCCGAGGAGTGATTCGGAAGGTCGATATGCCGGTCGATTTTCAGTAGGTTTAGGGTAAGGTTGTGGATTGCTTTGGTGAAGAGCTTGAAAGTTGTTTTGAGAAGGTTTTTGATTGGGATTCCAAGGACGTTTGTACTTCATAGATAGAAGTGGAAACTCTTGCTGGAAACGAAGTTCGGAATCAACAGATTTTGGATATAGGTTTTCTTCGAACGGATTGTTCAGAATTAGAGAAATAGGCATGATAGTTACTGTGGGTCGAACAGGTGGGATGACTCCAAATGGATCCAAAAGAGATGGGTTCGGAATCAGTGGATTGACCGAGCTGACTAAACCGAGAGGACCTCCTAAAAGTTCTCTCAATGTTTTAGCAAAGTTGGATTCATGACCTTCCAGTTCGTCAAACAACTGATAGAGCTTCAGTTTCTTCATAGACCCATTACTCTGAAGATAGGACTTAACATTTCCCCATCCCTTTCCAAGGCTATTGATGAAGTTGAGGTTGTAATCTAGTGGAGATCAGACTACTCCATGTATTGTCATGTTGTTTACCACAATCCTATATTGATTTGATGCAGAGGCTACAGATTCACCAAGAGTTATAGTGAACGTGTCGAAGTAATTTACAACAGATGTCAAAAACTTATCCTTCATGTTCTATAACCCTTCGAACAAGTTTTGAAGTGTATCCCAAATCTCTTTGGCAGATTTGTACAACTTAATATACACAAAGAGAGAAGGAGGAACACCAAACACCATTTCAGAGAAATTGATTTGATTAGCATGAAGTTTCTCAATATCGGTTGCAGTTAGTGGTGCTGGTCGAGACTCTTCTTGACCCATGAGAGTGGAAACATCTCTAACCACTCGTCTTACAAGAACATGAGGACCTTTTTTCACTGACCTCCATATTTCTTCACCTTTTTATTTACCAAGCAAAAATCTCTCCATTCTAACTTTCCAGTAATCATACTGGAAAACAACTAGCAATGGGGCACGTGTTGGGTAACCCGCGCTATTTGCTATTTGCTATTTGCATTGAATACATTTGTTGAGATTGATTAGAAACAACCATTGAAGTTGAGATATTATAGTTGAAGTGGTATATAGAAGACCTTTTATCCTGAACACAAAAATCATTGAGATACCAAGGTAATCTACAACCAACTATAATTTTTTCTTATGGATTCAAAGGACAACCACTTAGGTTTTGATACCAATTGTGAAAGCAAAGAACTATGCATACAAGGTTTCAGAACTCAAACCTTGAATTAACTTAAGATCAATGTTTGCTAATAATAAAGATCCAGTGAATTCTGGTAAACCAGTCTTGCCTCAGAATTAAGATAATCAACAAAGTGCTCAAAATATAAATAATTAATAAGTATGAACAATGTAAAGCGATTCAAGAAAAAGAAAAATGTAAAAGAGAATATTGACTGAATGGTTCTTGATATAAGTGAAAAGGTGCATGTTCTACACTTTGATATAAAGGATGACTACTCTGTGAACATAGTTGTGGCTAGTATAAAAACAAAAAAAAATTATTTTATTTTTCACTTTTTTGTTGGAAAACTCTCTCTGGAAAGTTTGATTATGTTTAAAACTTCAACTTTATACTTCTTTAGTTGTTATAAGGATTGAAGTTTCTAATTACTTAACATTAATCTGTTTTAGCCTTTAATTATTCGTAGTCAAAATAAATAAATTTTAAAAAAACCCCAAAATCGCAGTTAAAATTGAGTGGAAATCGCAAATGGGCTTAGTCCATATGTGATTTGAAGGGGGCGAAGGATGTATTTATACAACAAAAACAAAAAACCATATGCGAACGTACAAGTTGCTAAAGCACATCTGTGTTTTAGCGACTTATACGTTTGCAGAAGGGTCGCTAAAATCACAGATAGACTTAATTCATCTGTAATTTTGATGGCTAAAAATACAATTTGAGTTTTTTTTTTTTTTTTTTTCTTTTTGCTATTTTCCACAAAATAATTAACACTTGGCTAAATTTGTAATTTTCTTCATTATTTAAGTATTTCACATGGTTTTCTAATAAAAACAAATTTTATAGTAATGGTCGGTATTTACTATTTAATGGTTTAAATGTAGAGATTGGATAAAACCATTGAAATTTGAAGTAATGATGCCACGTGCTGAGCAGATCTAATATGATGCCAAGTGGATTTTTTTTTTTTCAAACACCTCCAAGTGTCCTCGATAATGCTCTAGCGTAAATGGAGTTACAAAAATGACGAACTCTTGAGACAGAATTCTCGTTTGTTTTGAAAAAAGGTCAGAGAGGGGATGATTAGGGTTTCAGACAGTATCCCGATGTAAGAAACCATTGGTTACTATTCTGAAGAATGAAGAACAGCGTGGAATCTCGCGAAGAAGATGCAAATGTTTCTTCTTCATTTCGTCGTTTACCAGATGAAATCATCCTCCAGATTTTTAACAAATTAATCGACTTGAAAACCCTATGCTTTTGCCATCTCATTTCCAAACATTTCTCCTCGATTGTACTTCAAATCGAAGCCATTTCCTTCACTGCTCCTTTATTAAACCCTCACATTTCCGATAAGAACACCGTCAGTGATGTCTCCCCAAGTCAGCCGTTTCTATCCGCTCATAGGTTTTTGAGCAAGTTTAAAGGAGTGAAGTTCTTATGGATCGAACTTCCTTCATCCAGTCATAGAGATATTGATGATCGTCTTTTGTTCAGGTGGAAAGCTAAGTTCTGTAGCAGAATGAAATCGTTCATATTTCTATCACCACATTCAATTTTTTGACAAGGATGGATTCTGTATTAATGGAAATGGGGAAGAAGAAGAAGAAGAAGAAGACGAGTTACGAAATGATATGTTAAATCAGAAATTAGTCATTTCATTTCAGTGTTTTAGGGATGCGATGGTCTGGCATTCGATATTGTTGTACTTGGTTAAGGATCTACCAAAGTTGGAAAAGGTTTCCATTACTGATTTAGGGAGAAGAGGGAAGCTTTCTCTGAGTGGGGAAAAGCTCATTGAGGTGAAGGAATGGGTACATTCAGCTTCTGAAGCTGTGATGACTCATTTAGAGCTTCCTACTAAAATAAGTAACGGTTACATTCCCGTTTTGAAATTGCCAGTTTCAGGGTATGTGATGAAAGGGATACATTTTTGTGTAATGAAGATGAAAGATCTCGGGGATGGAAATGATGGTGTTATGAACAATGAGGATGCTTCTGCAGATAAAGAAGAAGCTGCGTATACTGAAGCTGTGATGGAAATTTTGGAGAAGCATACGACATGATGCTTAAGATGGCCGATGGTGTTTTAGTATGAATCAGGTGTGTACTCAATTAGGTTTTCATATTAAGGCTTTTTTTCCTTTGCAATTGAATATCTATAAAGTTAGAACTTGTTCTTTATGTCTAGTTAATTAAACACCCACACACAGGTCATCAGTTCTGAAATTAATCAGGAAAACATAAAGCTATGGGGTTTTTTAGAAAGTTCAAGTGAGTGTGGATCTTTCATTTTTGTCCTGATCTTCCATTATTCATGGCTATATTTTCTTTAGCTGAGATGAGGAATTGAGAGAGCAAGCCTTTGTCCTACCTTTTTGGATGAGATAAAAAATTACAAATTTTTGTCCCATTAACTGATTCATCACAACTCTAAGACACCATTATTCATCACAATAACTGTCAATATTACTGATTAATATGACCTTCTCAATCAATCTATGTATCTAAATCCATCTAGATGTGGTTCTCATAAACAGAAATCTGGTATCTATTAAGCCTATAAAAAGAAATAGGTGAAAAAAATAGACGAAGTTGAAGAAAGTTTTTGTTTAAAATAAGCTGTAATGAAAAAAAAAATACAAGGGTAAAAAGGTCATTTTAACAAAGTTAGTACTAAAGAACAGTTTTTGCAAAAAATGAAACCACAGGATAGGTAGCATTCTTGTAATGAAATTGGAAGTTGGAACCAAACATGCAATTTCCAAAATACCACAAGGACCAGTTCTGTAATTTTGTCTACAATGATAGTGAACAACCATGGACATGAAAAGACATACTTAACTTACCCATACATGATACATATGCCATTAACCAAAAAACTAAAGTTGGATGACTTATTTGTTAAGTAAAAGTAGAAGTTTGCAAGAAAATCGTTCAAGTATTGTATAACCTATTTGTTATTGCATGAAAACCATGGTATTTATTGTAATCCATGTTATGTGTATAATCTTTATGTATGACTTGTATTTCCAGGTAATTAAGCTAGTTCAAGTAACAACTAACAAGGGAAGAGAGAATATGAGGTGTAGATTGGTAGATATTAATTGATAGAAGATAGAAGGAATCTTTAAAACAAGTATTGAGATGTGTTTTATTTTTGAAGAGGATTTATCCCTAGAAACTAGAAAGGTAGCAACATGTTGGTATGTAAAACATGTTATGTAAGTGACATATAATACTACTAAAGTACTTCGCAGCATCTATATATTTATAACATATTTTTATTGTTTATGGACCTTTTAAATATTTATAAAAGGGTCTCATTTATTTGTTTAACCTAATCTATACTTTTTTTTATATTAAATCATGAGACAAAAACAAAAAATTATAATTTTTTATCAAATAAAGAGGATTGTTTAATAAAACTTCTAAAAGCATTTTTTTAATCTTTTTATAAACTTCTAAAAGCATTTTAGTGTTATTTTGATCATATGTTTTGTGGTGTAATATGTTTTTCTTTTATTATGTATAATTAATTAGATTAAAAGATAGGGATATTCAACCATGGGATAAAACTTTAAAAAAAATCGCATTAATAGTTTTTAAAAAATTTGCAGAAAAAGTAAATTTCTTTAAAAAAAAAAACAAACAAGTAAATTTCTTTTTTTATCATTTTTGTAACAAAATTTAAGGTTCGTAGTATTCATAACAAGTTTAAGACCAAAAGTGTAAATATTTATATGTAATAATTTGAGAAAATTATAAAAATGGTACCTGTGGTATGGTGTAATAGACACATAGTCCAACTTCAATAAAATGGACAAACTTGGTCCTTGTGCTTTGTGGATATTACATAGATGGTCGCTCCAATACACTGCGTTAAAAAATGCTTAAATTTCAGTAAAAATAACCATTTTACCCTTCTTTTGTTCTTTATACATATGTCTTTATATTTTATGATTATTTTCTAAACCGTAGGGATCAAAACTTAATGTATTACGTTTGGCACAAAATCATCGTTGCATGCTCCTTTGCCTTTCAAAATTGTTTTTGTCGTTTACCACCATCCCCATCTTCTCCGATGTTGTAACTTAATGTATGTTCTAGCTTGATGATGTTGATGACTCATTTTAGTTTTCTGATTATCTTGTTGGATATCATTATTATATATATATATATATATATATATATATATATATATATATATATATATATATATATATATTAAAGTTGTGGAGAAAAAGAACAGTAAATCTGAGATATTTTTTCCACTTTTGGTCCCTTAAATTACATTTTTTATCCCTCCATTTTTGTTTGTGTGTCACTTTGTTTAAAGGATAACACTTTTATGAAACGGTAATTCTACAACTTTTTTTTTTACTCTTTTGCCTCAATTGTTTTACCTGTTGCCACTTTTCCCCTAAGTTATTGTTTTTTACTTCTTTCGCTCAATTCTCTCGCTCCGCTTTTGCTTTAAACGATTCCCATTTTTTTTATCGTCACTTCTTTAATTAATGAGTTTTTTTTAATGTGTAAAAGCATTTATGAACAATAAGGAATTGATTTATTTTACATAAATGGTCCTTAGGTTTTGTTGAATTTGACGACAAAATTACATAAATGGTCCATATGGTCTACCCATGATGACAAATTTAGTCCCTACTACCTGAAAAGACCAAATTACCCTCACATTAACGGACAAAAAACAACCAACATGCTACTTTACTTTACAAAGCAATACCTTCCGACCCCGGCAACGCCGGGGAATCTTTTCTAGTTTATTACTTAAGTTTCATGTGTTGACTTCTTTCGGTTTAGGTTTTCAACTTGATTTCATTTGATTGTGTTTTTGATGCGTTGGACCCATTTTGTACATCTTAAGAACTGTGCTCGCATTAGAAGAAATACAAATCCAAAATGCTTAGAATCTAATCGGAGGAAATTCATTGTAATTACGGAATCATGGATATCAAAGGTCCTACCTTGGTATATGTTACTTGAGTATGTTGGAGGATATGACGGTTGTTGCTGAAAATTCATTTTTTCAATGTATATAAGGCACTTCAGTTTTTCACTATTTACACGTTCTGACTTGGATAACATGTTAATTTCATTATTTTCTTTTTAGAAAGACGCCGAATGATAATCTATATTTTAATTTGTTTTTTTGCTTATATAGAACCAACTCAATTGCCCTTTCAAGATTCACATTGTTCTTTGAAGACATTCACCATCCATACTAATAGATATGGTTAGTTGGCTTTCCTGCACAATCGTCCTTTCAAAATGCTACCTACACCATCGAAAATGGATCCTTGCATGGCTGAATGTCACAAGCAAGCGATTTGCTTCTCCTTCATGAAGTCGAAGGTATACGATCCCCAACGTCTCATTTAGATTTCATGCATGGATTTCAATTTTCAAGGTTTCATCTTCCAATTAGCCATCAGCTAAGATTTTTCATTGAATATTTTTGTTTTGTATATATATATATATTCCATTGTGGTTTGGCTGTATCTTTTTGTATTTTGGGATGAACAATTTTTTTGTTTCAATATATGTATTTCCTTCGGCTTTACTTTGATAAAACCATCAACAAAATTTTAACTCACATCAAACACATATAAATAAACTTAAAAAACAACTATTTAAATAAACAATATTTATAAAATTATTCATAAAATAAAGCACATCTATATACACAAGTTTTCTTCGAAAAACTATATGATTCATATAAAATAGGGAAAATACCGGCAATAGTAAAAAAATGGGGGGTAAATTCAAAATTTAGACATGAAAATGGACATTTGCAGGTATAGATATGCATTCCGCGGAGCTCCGCGGAATGTACTGTAGCTCCGCGGAAAGGATCTTTAGATTTTTTTATTTATTTTTTTTTCACATCGTTTCTTCGGGGTTTATATTAATTCCACAACTAATTATTTTCAAGAAAAAGATTATGATAGTATGATAATCTTTGCTTGAAAATAATTAGTTGGAAATGAATATAAACCTCGAAGAATCGATGTGGAAAAAAAAACTGAAGATCCATTCCTCGGAGCTACCTCCGCGGAATGAGTTCATTCCTCGGAGGTAGCTCCGCGGAATGGATCTTGAGGGTTTTTTATTTTTTTAATACACTCATTTATTTACGATTTTGCCATTCCGCGGAGCTACAGTAGATTCCGCGCAGCTCCACGGAGCTACCTCCGCGGAATCCATGTCTATATCCGGAAATCCAATTTTTTGTGTCTATTTTTTGAAAATACCCTCCATTTTTTGACTATTGCCGGTATTTTCCCTATAAAATAATAACATATGTAAATCATTAATCTTCTCTTTTATTGTGCTTTCTTGATTTGACATCAATGAAGATGAGTTTACCATTTTCAAGAACACATTGTTGGGTCAAAAACTCCTAAAATAACATCAATTGAGAAAGTGTCACCTCAAGACATGTTATCACACTAAAAAAGTGTCACCTCACATGGCATGATCTTGTAACACCAATTGAAAAAGTGGTCAAGGTGATATAAAATTTTGTAACACCTACTAATTTTCATGTCATCATTTCTTATTTCTTTTTTTTTATTTATTTTTGAGTAATTATAAATAAAAATATAAATTAATAAAACATGCTATTTTAATAAATCATAAATTAAACATAACATTAAAAAACTAAAAATAATATTACAAAAAAAATTATAAGAAAAAAAAAACCATAGTCCTAATTTAAAAACATAAAACGATATTCCTAATTTTAAAACATAAACGATAGTCCTAGTCTAAGTATTTTTTTCAGATCTTCTTCTTCGTCATTCGAAGCACTCCCAAATCTTAGTGCGGAAAATCTCTTCGCTAGTTCGTAGAATTTCCAAATGCTTCGCCATTTGATCTTTATCTACTTGCCTACGAAGTGTAACATCCGGTTTCGAAAAGCTTCCTATTTCGGGAATTATGGACATTAATGGATCAAGTTAGGGCCCTAGACTTCAAGAGTTTAAGTTCTACGACCATTCGAGAGTGGATTATATATATATATATAGGTTGTGCGAACCAAGCT